TAACAAAGAAACTTGGTCAATGTTGAAGATGCCTACACAGAGAAAGATATAGAAACTTTCCAAAATGTGGCTATTTCCCTAAAATTTATCTAGAAGTACTTATCTAGGACCCTAATTTTTATCCTTGTTTTTCCTCCTGGTTATATGTTCTCCTTCTGTTAGTTCATGTTATAAATGGCGCAACCAGGGATGTCATGCAAACATGAGTAAATTGGATATAGGCCTGCCTGGAAATTTATTAAATGAATAAACCAAATACTCTTTTGCTGATATGACAGGTTTACTGTTGGCCTGGTTATGCTTCTTCGGGGAGTTGATGCAAATAAACATTGCTCTTGGTGTCATTATTTGTCATGTGTCCCTACTTCAAGATGGAGTTGCAAGACAGAGCCTGCATACTGCACGGTAACTAATTCCGAAAACTCCCTCCATTTCCCCCTTTCATACTGTTTAGGATTTGCATTCAATTTTACAAGACAGATCACTCTTCTCATATTGCATCACTTTATGACTGGGTAAAAGGGCTTCATGTGTTGAATCACCTGAATCATCATCTAACTAGTTGTTAAAATTTTTAGAAAGAATACGTGACGGCAAGTTTCTGTGTGTCTAGGGGAACTGGTTTTTATTAGCCAAGAGTCATTTGTACTTGTGATTAAGAACAGTATGTCTGATATTTTCTTGTGATAATCGCATGAATCTGACTCTCCTGTGTACCATGACCTCATTGCAGTCAAGCCAGACGGGCAATCAGCTCTTTTTAACATGCTCAAGCAATGGTAAGAACGGCACGTATACATTTGCAAATGCAAGCAGTTCTCAGATCCAGGGGCTGTGTTCTCAGCTTTGCAGTTGATTTTTGCGGTAGAGATGAGGGGGCTTAAGGCGGCACGAGCTGCTCGTATGTATAAAGATACTATTTACGGATTTGTTTTGCTGTGATACCCTTGTTATACATTTATTCATTTCATTCTGTAATCTTTGATTCTTGATCTTTACCATGAATATTCGATTGATTGCTCTGTTTTTCTTTACAACATATAGATGTAGGAAGTACTAAGTGCATGTGAAAATATGTAGCCGTACGTGTGAAACTGCAGAGTTGCCAAAATATGTATGTGTTTCATCTCAGATTTTACCAGGCATACCATTTTTCTGAAGTTGTATCACTTTTTGACTGGGAAAAAAGGCTTGATGAGATGACATAAGTTAATTAATAATTTTGTAAAAAAAAATAATTAAGACAACCATGATCCAACTGCATCAATATCACCATGACTTGTGTGTGCCATGGTAAGTCATTGCAAATTTGTAGTCAAACAGATAGGTAAACCAGTATGTAACATGCTCTAGCAATGGTAAGAATGGCCACACGTATACGTTCCAAGACGCAAGCAGTTCTCAGACATCCAGGCTCTTATGTTATCAGCTTTGCAGTTATGTTATCTGAATTATTGAGAAATCACGTGGTGTTA